TTCCTATTTAAACTGGAAATGAGAATGAGGTGGAATCAACCTCTCACTTGGTCTTTGGATAAAAAAAAATATATATATATTTTTTAAAAGAAACAAATCAACTAACTAAAATCAATCCCCACTGAAAATGTCAATATTTTCAATTATTTTTCCAAAAGAAACTACATTTCTTAAGGACCTGTACCCCCTGGGAAGCAGCCTGACTTCTTTTTTTACAGTTTCTGCCTTTATTAAGGGTCAGCTATGGTATGAAGATCCTTCTGGATCACTAACTCCCTTGCCCTGTCAAGCAGACAGAGGCCTGAAATTCTGTTACTTTCACCTACAACTTTATTTACTTTTTCGGTCACTACCCAGAGCCCATTTTGTCATTCAAATACTGACCAGAAAATATACTGCATCATCTGATGTACAAAATCAGTAAAGCTGGACCAATTTTTTCACATGCTCAAACTTTAGAACTCATCTGATTTTTGTTTTTTATTTTTTGTCTTTTACGGAAAAATAGCACAAAATGTTTAGTCACTTCTAGTATCAGCCTCAACTTCTCCTTATAAACTCTAATCCAGTGACTCTATTCTTGATTAAAAACTGTCAGATTTATTTAATGGAAATAAATGCTCTCCGATTATGCAGTGCAGCTTTCCAAGTCAGAATATATGATTTTGGTGACACTTCTCTATTTAAGTTCGGTTTATCTTAACATTAGTTAATTAAATGTAGTGCTACAGACATTAGATCATTCTCTCCTCAGTCACCTCCAGCTTTCGTCAAAGTTTGGCAAAATGAGCATCCTGGGAGGGACTTTTTCAAGATAGTAATTTGAACTCACTTTAAAGACGCAGCAGTTTTGTGTAACTCTTGGTTTTTTGGTTTCAAACCACTTGGTTATGCTCATCCTAATGAGGCTCAGTGGGTTTAAGATGGGTTACCAAGGTGTAGCTTTGAGTTGAAAGACAAGAAAATATTCTTAATTTGTATCTATAAATATATTTTTTCAACATTGGTGGGTTTTGAGGACAATATCTCTCTACATGAAAAAGTTTCAATGTTTCAAACTATTTTTTTTATGTAGCTATACAGTACATTAGGGAGTAATTTCCATGTAAGTTCAAGAGCACCAATGTGAACACAAGTAAGAACACATTACAAAACTTTAGGTTGGGTGTGTTGGGGGTGATCATTGTAAGTTGAGTTTACCCTTAGTAAATGTATAAAAAAGAAAAGGTGACAATAAATGGAAGTAATGTAAAAATATTACCTTGCCACAACAACTCCTTCATTAGATGTCTACAGCGGGATTTACCAACTCTGGTCTATTTTTTCCTAGTTTCCCCGCTCTGGCACACATGATTCAAATGAATGGGCCTTCATCAGTCTTCTGCAGAGCTGTAGAGCGGTGCCATTTATTTGAATCAGGTGTCTTTTAGCAGGGATACTTGGAAAACATTGGGGTCGGATGCCCTGAGAACCAGGGTTGGGAAACACTGGAATCTGTTCATTCTTTGTCCTGTTTGGAGCCATGGGAGGCATTAGCCTCTTCCAGCTGACAACAGAGCCTACGTTCTAAAATGAAGAAATTGACCACAGTGATTTTAACAGGCCATCGTTGGCACATTTTTTTTCTACCAACGTAAAATCAGAGAAGCGTTTTTTCTTTCAAAAAAATCAAGAAAGATTAAGAGGTGAGTGCCACATAACTCTCTCATCCATGACTTCCCGTTTGTAACACAGAAAGAGGCCATTTCTATGGAAATGCAATGTTTACACGCATGGGAGAAGTCTATTATCTGCCATTTTGAAAATGTTATGAGCATAACGCTTCCTGGGGTTCAACCTCATATTGCTCTCAGCATTTTCTTCCTTGTTTTTTCTATTTTTTCCTGTGCTCATCCAGAGGAAAAAACAAACGGTGTAAATGTCTTTCCACCTGATTAAGCACAGGCTTCTGCTTTCTTGTCCATGTATTTCAGCTAAAATGCCTCATGAGTGTTTTCAAAACTACTCCCTTTAAAAGCTGAATGTAGGCTTTTTCACCTTGAAAGCATTTAAATAGAGTTGGAAATATTAGGCTCTTCCCGATACACTCTTGAAAGGTGTGCCAAGAGTTCAATGATGCTTTGTAGAGCGTGAAGTTACAGAGGGAGGGAAGTGTCCACTGCAAGTGAATAAAGTGACGGTAATGCATTGACAGCACCACTCGTCTCAAGAAAATAACAAAGTCCCTTGAGATAAAAAAAAAAAACATTGTGATGTTTAACTAGGATTTGATCAGTCATTCGAACATGTCCCAAGCGGTAAAGTACACATCAAATAGAAGTTTGAACCACAGAACAACAGTCGGTAACACGGAACTTGAGAGAACACATAAGATTCAGACAATTAGTTTTCAACCAGGTCAATCTAGACTCTTCTCATCTGCAGTTCCACACTCGTGGAACGACTTTACGAGCACTGTTGGAGCACCAGATTCTTTTATTCCTTCAAGAAATTCTTGAAAACCCAGTTTTTCAGAGTGTATCTCTTGCTCTCAAAGCTCTAAATGCACTTCTTTCCTAATAGCATATAGCACGTAAGTGAGTAGTTGAATGTTAAACGCTCTTTTTGTAAGTCGCTTTGGATAAAAGCGTCTGCTAAATGCATAAATGTAAATTAGTTTCATGTTTTTACTTGTGTACATGATTGGTAGAGTCCAGTCCTCTAAAAAAAATATGTTTCCAACTGTCCTTTCCAAAACGTAATCAAGTCGGTAAATAAAATTGAACACAGTTAAGTGGATGTCAGTATTAATGTACCTCTGCTCTCCCTATGAAAACAGCTTCTTAGAGTTTTTGGTTTAATTCAATCTGTGAAAATAAAAACTGTTCAAGCACCACATGAGCATTCTCGAGCCATACTGTGTTTCTGTTTTTAACTATACAGTTGTTTTTTTGCCGTTGACTATTTTTGTTTTCTTAGTCGAAAATATATGTGCAACGCTTTGCAAATAGAAATAAATTATGAAATTCTAACATTACAAAATAATGTTAGGTTGATATTTTATTGGTCTTAACAATCCCAGCTCGTACATATAGTTTTTAAAGCAGATAAAAAAATATGTATTTTATAATCAAAGAACTCTTTTAAAAAGAATCTTGAATTAATTAAAACAATCAAAGTTTTATTGATCATAATATATATTCATTAACTGTTTATAGCTTAAAAATAACAATAAGATGGCTTAGTTTCTACAAGGTCATTTAAACATTTTTTCTGTGGTGCTTTTTTGTATTTTGGGGTGATGCTCCATCACAGTTAAGAGACTCTCGTAGATAATGGTGTCAAGATTTGAGTTATTAATGAGTGGCAGGCGTTCTTCCCCACTGAGAAAACTCATAAATGTCTGGAAGTGGCATTTTGCACTGAAAAATGAACTGTCTCTGCAGCCCATGCTGGCAGACTCATTCTCGGACGTAAAATGTTGGTCCGGTCCACCATTTTGTTTCCATCTTTGTAAACCGACGCTTCGTCCAATCCGATCATGTTTCGGTTTTTATTTAACTCTTCCAGAGAAGTGGGAAGCGAACCACCTGGTGTATGAATTATCCATTTGGCCCTGGGGTGATCATTACAACGCTGTCAGCTGAAAGTTGACCTCTGCTCCCAGATGTGGGTGAAAACCAGGACAAATTCCCACTCTTTAACTTTAATGTATGGGCAATATGTTGAATGCCTTGAGATTAGATTGGTTGAGAATTTGGTATTATATACATAATACTCCCCACATTAGCCTCAGGAAGATCTTCTTATTTCTCACTGGATTATACAATGGTTCATTTCTTTGTCCTCCTTCTATATATTTGTGGTTGGATACTTTCTCCTATATCTTCATTGTCAGTTGCCTCAAGTCGTTTTAATCATTGGTGCCATTGGTTACATTGTCAAAGATGATTTGCTAAACTAATTTATCAAAAAGACACATAGGACATGTATATATCATAAACTTTGTTTTGGATAAATATGTTTTTTTCTACTTATGAATTTGACACTTAATTGCATCTACTTTGTGAACATTTTTTAAAAATGTATTAATTTATACATGCTCCTGATTGGTGAAATCTTTGATAAAAAATCTTCTCCGTTACAGTATACAGCAAATGTAGAACCCACCTTGTTTTTCTGCTTTAGTTAGGAAATTACTGTGGAAACCTAACTAAAAGTACAGTGAACATGTCTTTGAAATGCCTTTGAGTGCTACTTACATTTTATGTATTCCATTGATGAATTGAAAGAGACTTTAGCACAAAACTAGAGACCATATTGGAAAAATGATTGCATCAACTGTGACATTTTGCAACTCTTTGTTTTCATCATGAAAACATCATCATCAAACTTCAGTTTTAAAGTGTCTTTAAAGTTTAGAGATGATGTGTGGTTTGTTTTGTGAAATTTCTGGAGAAATGGTATCATTATAGAGATTAGATGCAATACTTGTTAGTGGTTATTATGCAATTTTATTTTTTAAATCATTGAGAACAAGTGTTAGTTACAATGGTTTCCCACAAATCCTACAAATTCTCATTTAATTGGACACGCTTCTGCGCAACATGTATAAAGGCTCAAAGACCTTCAGCTATTAATATTTTACTTAACAGCTTGCTGCATGTCTGTTTGAAACACAAAAGCTGGTTCAGCAAAGCGCAGAAAGCTGCTTGCCTTTAATTTTGCACGTTTTTTTTTTTCACCATCTTGGAAAAAAAACATCGAATTACAGACTCTATTGCGAAGGGATTGCATCAGCAAAATCTACACAGCTGTAAAGATTGTGGCTTCTCCCCCTTTCACGTGAAGAATACAGCACTTTGCGACTGTACCTTGCATATTTATGACCTTATCACGCAGACAAAATCTCCCCACTGACGGACAGGCCGAAATGCTTTGAAAGTGGCCAAAACACATTGAGACTCACAAGGTGTGAACACGCTGTCATAGTTTAGAAATTCTTAGCGCATTGGCTCAAAATGGAAGGGCTGTTCACCTCGAGCTTTCAGGCAGAGGTTTGGCACTCGCAGGTAGGTTTTGGGCTCTGGTCAGGGCACACGTCTCCTCTACTCTCAGTAAAGCTGGCCGTGTCTGGTGTCGAAACACACTGTCACACACACCATCTGTTACCTCCAGCTTTTCCTGGCCTGAGCAAACATGGCCACGGGTAGGTAATGGCGCGGACAAAAATTCTGACCTTGACACCGTCTTCCGTGTGTGACCAGAGGTAGATTGATGAGAGACCGTGGTCCCCCTTTTGATTTTTGGTTTGTTTGACAAAGGTGGCAGAATCCCACGTCGCCTGGAAACCTTTCGATCTTAATGTGGGATGACAGAGGGGGGGATTTTCCATCCCTGTTATCTTACTGAACTTCAAAGATAAACATCATATGAACTCATTCAGTACATGCATTTCAATTTTGATTGAGTGACTTTGCTGTCAAATGCTGTTACGAACGTATCTCTCTTTGTCATGTGCTATATACGCACGTTTATCTGGAAAATATTGTCTTTTGAATAATGTTAGTTTTCAATCTCTTTGAAGGTGCTTTGTATGTGTTGTACTTATTCCCAGGTCTGGTCATTTTTGTCATTTAACTCAGATTTTATGCACGTTGGTGTGACAATATGATGTTTGTGTTGTGGGAATAAAGATTCACTATGACGGTTCACATTTTTTACAATTTTTGGTAAACGGTTACCTTCAAAGAGCAGAGGACATTTTTAAAAACATTTGGGTCTTTTTATGTGGGGACTGCTTCAAATTAAAGCAAAAAAGCATAAAAATACTGATATTCATCATGGTCTTCCCTATGTACTGTTTCACTTATGTTCTAGCTCTGAACATTACAACAGTTATCCTATATAGAGAAATATATACAATTTATTCTCTATATAGACCTTAGATTTCAGATCATGTTCACAAAGCGTTTTGAAAATTGGTAATCGGTCATTATGCAAACAGGCTGGTTGTTTTATCAAAAGCAGCCACTGTTGGATTTCATCACAACTAAAAACTAAAGCTGGCACAGAATACTAGATGAGAAATATATTTTGACCACAGGTCGATTGCTGTGAGTCCAACCAAGAGTCAATCATAACTCACAAATAGGGACCCGCAGTTTTCAATGTTCTAAACCAAAATACAGTACTTAAAAGTTTGGACATACTTTTTCATACATGTTGTTTGAGTAGATGAATCCGGAATCAGGATCTGTTATTTTATGCACTGTCCCTCTTAAGTTAACCAGATTTGGTGTAATTTTGTGGATGCCTATTCTACTAGGCACTAAGACCATGATTTATGAGGTTTTGAATGATAACATCTCATTTACCTTGACAATATTTCTTACCATCTTTCATGATTTCAGCACAGTTACATCAAACAGTTGGTTCCAGGCTTGCATGCTTTTCTCTTTTTTTAAAAGGAAGGAGGTAATATTAAGTAAAGATCATTATTTATAGGTTAAATCTTATGTCATTTCAGCTCACCATGATGGGCCTACTTCTTTTGTCTGACTTGCTATTAGATAATGTCAGATTCAGCCAAACACTTATATAAAATTCATGAGTGATAGTTAATCGAATATAAACTCTGCACTGCATTTCTTCAAGGCAGGAAATGGAGTACTATTTTCCACCAAGATGCACCAGTTTGTGTTGCCCTGTCAAAAGTCATTGAGAAGAGAGATATCCCCACAACATCTTAAACAGTTGCCATGGGAATAAATCTGACAATCTAGAAAAAGCAGTCTGATGGATGAGATCCGTCCAGTTTAACTCTCTGTGCCCACTTTACACCCCATTCATACACATTCATTCATGTCATTGTCCACCATTATTATTCGATACACCGCTGTAATCGCTGCACCAAAAATGGTTTAATTGAGCTTTTGGATCAATAGCACCTGATGCAGCCTATCTTACTGTCATCTCACAGCGGGGTGCCACATTTAGAATGCTATTGACTGTATTGACCAGAATTGATAGCAAGGCAGGCAACACCTAAGGCAATGGAATGAAGCACCATTTGTTTTGAGCTTTTCTCTCTTGTGATAGCTTGTATATGAAAAGAATATACCAAATGCCAAAGCTATAGGGGCTTTGTTAAAATGATTTCTTATGGAGAGATGTTTCTTGTTAAAGGACCAGTGTTAAACTGAGCTTGATCACAGCGTTTCTTTCATTGGATTGATATAGTTTTCAAAATATGCAGCATTAAACATCATAGGCGTTATGTAATGTGCATTTTACGCTTCATTTTCCGAAATTGTCTTAATATTTATGTCAAATTATGTAAATGCTAAGCTATTTATACGCAGTTCTAAACAAGTAAATAAAACAAGAAACCACCACAGATAGTTTTAATCAACTGACCAAAACAAAAACTGATTGGGAAATGATTGAGGAAAAAATACAATAGTCCACATAGACTAATGCACAGAGTCTGAGGATGTGCTTGGAGTGTTACATTCCCGTTGTACTGTAGTTTCTCCCAGGGCAGTGGAGTCGATAGGAGGGGCTGAGCCGTGCTGCACCGTGCAGCAAACTCACCTCTCTCTCTCTGTGGATTCTCATCTCCATCCCTCCATCCCTCAACTTGTCCCGCGCCAGGATGGACGCGTTTGGCCGCACCTGGAGCCGGTGATGTGTGTGTGTGTGTGTGTGCGTGTGTCAGAGGGATGCGGCCGGACGGGAGGAACCCCGTCAGCACCTGGAGAGCGTCTGGGCGTCGGTGATGTTTGAAATTTGTGACTGCGGGAACCGCCAGCGTGTCTTCGAATCGACGGACCGAAGCTTTCACCGGTGCGCTTTTGGAGAGACGGACATGTGGATGAGAACGATCCCCCCTCAGCTGCTGAAATAACAGTTTTTTTTGTTTGTTTTTACTTCACTGCCTTTAAAACTGTCCATTTTTCTTCTGAGTGGCACCAGTGAAAACGGGACTGGGTGAGAAATTGATTGCCTTTTTTTTTTTCTTCCCCTGCTTGAGGAGGAATTCATGCGCCTATATAGCTCACTAAAGCCAATATGCCAGAATGGGTCCTCTTCAGTATTTATTTCTCTACGGAGTTCTGTACAGCCAAACCTATGGTAAGTTCAGGCTTACATCGTTTTTCTCATCAATGTAAATTCAGTTGTTCCACATTAAGCTAAAGGGATCAGAAACGTTTTCCTCGCAGTTTTGGAGCTCAAGTCCTACAGCAAGTGAATACTGAGCACGATATGTGCTTTACGGTTGATTTTTCCGTTCCTCCTGAATAAGTGTTTATGATGCCAGTGCAGAATGTCACAGTTGGATGATTTAGCCCTGATGTGAAATTGCTTAAGGGAAACTCGTCAGCGGCGTCGTCAGACAAAAGCTGCTCATTTATTTATTCATGAAGCTGCTCTAATTGAACTCAGTTATACAAGAATGGAATCTTGCACACCAATTAAATGCCCCTAAATTTGTGTTGAAATGAGTCTGGGCTTTAACTTTTTTTAATTATCCTTTAAAACAAAGATCTGAGTTTATTTTGTTTTATTCTAAGTGTAGTTCTGCCTATCTTGCGTGGTTCTTCAAACCAAGGTGGTGCAGACCTTTGATTTTCAGACTTTATTCACAGGTTTCTTTGTTTCTATCCAGGAATAATGCTGATGCTACTCTAGTAATTTTAAAGGAGCTAACTCTGCATCCCATAACTGAAATACCTGCTGTGTATCTTTCAGTGTCATTGGGAAATTTGCTTCTGACTGTTTCAGTCTATAGATTACAGATACAATTCACAGCCCTGATTCTGTACCATAAATTCAGTTTCACCATACATACAATTCTAAGAAATCAGAACGGAAGTGCTGCCTGTTTCACAAAGACTACGAATTCCACATGGAACAGAAATGTGTGTTAGTGTGGTGAATATGGTGAAATTCTAAGCAGTTCACACCACATGTAGAAGGTGTGAATTTGAGTGTTTCTTGGAAACGGAAGGCACTGTGTTGCCACTTTTTGCTGGTATAGCATATCAATTAAATCTAGACAAAGAAAGGTTGCGACTTTGTTATACATCCCATCTTTTTGACACTAACAGTGCTCAGTTGCATTTACAAAAAGTCAGGGAGGTGTTGATTGAATTGTAGGGTCATTTTGGAGCCTGCAGTTTTCATTGGATCGCCATTTATCTTTATGTAACGCATTGTACCCACTGTATTTTACCCAAATATGAGTGGGTTAAAAGATATATACCTTCCTTTCAGACGGCAGCCCATTTCAAATGTCATTGGGTGAGAGGCAGGGTTCACCCTGAACAGGTTTCCATTCCATCACAGGGCCTCACTCTCAGGGACAATTTGGATATTAATATACTTGTTTTTGAAGGGAAGGTAGAGGACCGAGCACCTGGAGGGAGGCGAGGCGTATAGAGAGAGCTCCACACAAAGATTTGAAAAAGGAATCCACCATGCCACAATGCCACCTGGCAAAAAAAGACTAGATGCTGTGTGTATATGTACATATAGTTTATACCTGTGTCAAAATGTTGAGAAAGAGGGCTGCATGGCACTGTGGTGGTTCATATCGACTCAAATCCCAGTGTTGAGTTGGTTTTGTTTTTTCCTTGTGTGCATGGGTTCTCTCTAGATTCTTCACCTTCCTCCCAAAAAATGCATGTTATAGGCTAATTGACGAGTCTAAATTTGGAAAAGTTGGAAAATGCTCCAGCCCAATGTGAGTAGGTATAGAAAATGGATAGATGGAAATGTTCAAGAGAGGAGAGGAACAGACCATCTTTGTTTGCTCTTCCAGGACTTAACGATTTGGCAAAAATATTTGTAAGCAGTGATATAGGACAGTTTAAAGACAAAACTTGATGCTGTTCCGACACAAAATCCTGTCTGGACTCCAAGTATTCTTCTTGGGGCCTTGTTTTTGAAGAATACTTGAATGACAAGTGCTCATATGTAGACAGTCAAAATAATCTTAGCACTCCAAATTGAGTTATTCCAAACTCTCTCGCTACAAGGCTGTCAGGTTAAATTGACTTTTATCAGAGTAGTCACTGCTTATTGGCCCTTAAAGAGCCACTTTCCCCGTTGCAAGCTGTTGATTTTCTGCTTCAGCACCATGGATAGACCCCAATAAACAGGTACAATTGTGGAGGAAAGTGGGATGCAACGTTTATGCTTAACTTTCTGAAGCAGTTTCCCCAATCACTGAAGCACAATTGAAACTCTATAACATTTTACACGCACATCTGAGTTGTCAATGCATAGTTAACCTGAAAATTCCGTTTGTCCATACACATTCTTGAAAATATAAATGGGAATTCACTCTTCCTACTGATTTACATTCAGGGTCATGGAGCATGTGCAGCATGTAGTGTGAAGAAAGCAGTCAAATCCCCTCAACAACAAGCCAGTCCATCACAAGACCAAAAGCCTGACAGGACCCCACAGGACCTGCTTTCTGCTAGAAGACCGTACCAACCACTGAGCCAGTGTGCCACCTACAACTTAAATCATCTCATTTAAATTCCGTTGTCTGACAGCACCGGTGTCGAAAAGTCAGAGTGCAGACAAGCAATTAGACAAAGTCAGCACAAACTGCACTGGTTTGTGTGTTTAATGGATCAACGCAAATGTAATTTCTCAAAGATGTATTGATAGTATTTATATATATATATATATATATATATATATATTTATTTTTTGATATTTTTGCTCAAGACACAGCCACATGTTAATGTGTTGTTACCTGCTCATGGTTTTTGTTGGCAAACCTCTTAACATCACAGATAACACATCAGTTATGCCCTTATTTATGACTTTATTTCAGCTAGAGTGTACTAAGCAGTCTCCATGGTTGTCCTTGCAATTTGTGTGTTTTCCGCCATCAAAGCACAAAAGATGAAAGACCGTGTAACATTACTTTCACGTATGAATATCTTATTTATTTCTCCACCTTATAAAAAGCTTGGTTTGGCAGCTCGAACATCGCTCCGTCGGCTGTTTGCATGCGCACAACACAAGAGATAGACCTTTTAACACGGATATTATAATGTGCTCATACACCATGAAACAGATGAGAGTTTTGATGCTGTCAGGTCGGTAAACAGTGCCCCTACATTTGGGTCATTTGACTGTGACATTTTAAGGTGGAAATGATCAAACTGTATTGCACTGAGCTGAAGTGGGCCAAAAGAATATTCAGTTTGCCACTTTTTCTAGGGTGCACAAATAGCGACATTAATCCATTATAGAATAATAATCATTTGACATTCTTATGCCTTTATTAAATATTTAGACTCAAATACCATCATTAAAGGCTAAATGCAACACATACTAATATGGGGATCTAGACTTTTGGATTTATTATAAATAATGAAAACCCAGTGTAACATTAGTTGTAAGACACCCACTGAGATATGATGTTTGTTGATGTCAGTGAATGATGGAATTTGCTGATGAAACTGGAAAAGCCGATGAGATGTGAAAAGTTCTAAGGTCTTGTCTGTGAAAGTAAACATGGAAGCTTCTGTTGCATCACAGCTTATTGTGCAGCCCCTAAGAACCTGACACTAATCAGGCCCCCTTAGAAGAAATATGAAGGAATTTCATTCGGTTTTATTCCACTGCTTACATTTTACAATTTTCTGCAGCTCTATTGCTTCTCAAAGAGTTAAATCAGTTAACTAGGAGTTAACAGATGGTATCCAAAAAAATGCTGTCTGTGCTGCAGAAGGAAAAGTCCATTTTATAAGGTAATCTTAGATTGAAATTTACACTTTGAGACACAATCTAATAGTACTTTAAGCTATTTTAAAAGGCATCTTTTTTATATTTCAAAAGTTCAAATGGTATCAGTAAATTGCGGTAGTTAAGTCACTACTTTTTAACCAGGAGGACACATTTCATATGCCATTGGACTCAGCATGTTGGATGCATACTTTAGTTTTACGTTTCAATTTTCTTCTCAGTCGCGTGCTTACTTTTCCTCTCAGGTCCACTGTTTGGTTTGGATTAAAGACTCCATGGTCAGGGTTGCAGAAATGCTATGACTTGTCTTAAGGGAGGCTCTCGTAACATCCTTTTGCTGACCTGGTGACAAGTCAGGCCACCTTTGCAGAGGACGCAAATGTGATTCATGCTTAAAACTTCCAGTGAAACATAACCCTTTCTTTGTCCTGCTGAATATCGGGGGAAAAACAACCATTTGCATGAGCACAGTGATCTTCATCTCATGTTTTCTGCACACAATGCAATCAGACCTCTTCAGCAGAGTTTTACTTTGTTTTTCTGTAGGGTCTCGTCTTCGCCAGGAAGATTCCGCTCCCCGGATCGTGGAGCACCCTTCCGACCTCTTCGTATCCAAAGGGGAGCCGGCCACGCTCAACTGTAAGGCCGAGGGCCGCCCGACACCGTCGGTGGAGTGGTACAAAGACGGAGAGCGCGTCGAGACCAACCGCGACAATCCCCGCTCCCACCGCATGCTGCTGCCCACCGGGTCGCTCTTCTTCCTGCGCATCGTTCACGGGCGACGGAGCAAGCCCGACGACGGCAGCTACGTGTGCGTGGCGCGAAACTATCTGGGGGAGGCCGTAAGCCGGAACGCATCTCTGGAAGTCGCATGTGAGCCCTATTAACTTTATCATTTACCATGCTTTCCCCCACATCATTGCAACTATTCACATTGTATTAAAATGAAGGAAATATAAGGAAACAAAAATGGGATACGCTGAATATTTTGAGGTTGGAAACCCCTTCGTGATGAATTTAAACATTAAAAATGTTAAGAAAAAAACATTTAACAAATGCGTTGTTACCATTTGGGGCAGCATAGATTGGGAATCCATAGAAGATGTCATCTGTCATAATATGCACAAATTCACCTTTCAGCTGAACCTAGAAGCGTTTGTGTGTGTGTGTTTGTGTGTGTGCGTGCGTGCGTGTGTTTGCGCATGCTCGCATATGTGTGTGAATATGTTTTACAGACTGTTAGTGAGACCTGTTTGGATGACCTGTTTCAGTAATGTATGGGCAAAGCTGTGAACAGCTCCGGGGAGGAAAAGAGAAGGGGGCATGATTTTAACCTAGCTAACTCTCTTTCACTGTTTGGATTTGGAAAGATGCAGCCAAGCTCCCAGCCAGATCTCTCCCTGTGTGGGAGAAAGGCGCTCTGGGCTATTCACATTTCCATTATGTGCTAAACTGAGCTGATTTCTTGCCATGAACAAGATGCACACATGCTCGGACGCACACACTGATACACATGCATGTATGCACATACAACAGACACACACACACACACACACACTTTCCTCCTCTCTGCTCTCTCAGATTGGACATCTCTGGCAAAAAAAAGATTTTCGTTTTTAGAATTTTGAAAAATTGAATTATCTGTTTCGTAACATATGTTAATTCTTGATATGACATTTGTGTTTTGAGATATAAAAACGCTTGATTATGATGTACAATAGGTGGTCAGTGATAAGAGAATGTTTTCTGAGGTTTAGATTTAAAGTCTTTGTAGCCCTGGTGTGAGTTTGGCTGATATTCATGGAGAAATCATTGATCGAAAGAGAAAGAAAAGATAAGAACATTAAATCCGAAGAGACACTATCTGAGATCTACACTCTTTTTTTGTGCTTAACATCAGACTTAACATCATCCATTTGTCTTGTTATCTGTTCAACATTCTTTAACGGATGACTCCTCTTCATTAATTCAAATCAACACGTCAAACTTTTAAGGAAAAAGTATTTTTCGTGGAGATCAATATGTGAAAAGACATACAAAAACGATATTTTCCACATTGCCAGTGTGTGTATACGAATGTGGCGGAGTACTTTGTTGCATCAGTGGCTTTCGCACACACAAAGAGACTTTATGGTAGTTGATTTTGTATCAGATTACTGCCTTGTGCCAAGACTACTTTGAGAGTATCCCTGTCTTAGTGTAATCAGAATTTACACTGCACTACACATCACATTGACATTACACATCTCCAGCTGTACGACTGCATTAGAGGACGGTGAATAATTCTCTCTCATAAAGAAAGCAGAGACCCAAAACTGTCGTTACAGTGTCAAGAGACTAATGTTATGGCTGCTTCACTGATTCCCTTGACTGAATAGAGGCAGACTTTATGAACACAAAGACTGTGTCAGAGCGATTCCGTGCGGATTTTCTGGCTCCCTTTGATGACAGTAAAGCTCATTCTTACTTTGCAAGTCAAATAGACATCAGCGATTCATTTTCCAAGTTAATTGTCACTTTCTTTGTTTGTGCTGGAGTTGAAATGACTGTTGTGAAGTAGTTTTTCCCTTACCATTAGCGGAGATGCATTTAGATCCGCTGAACAGATTAACATAAAGCAAAAATATGATTTATTATTAGCAGTGAGAAAATAACAACAGACCACCTTCATAAGTTAAATTAAAACATCAGAAAGTAGACTTTTAATTTTTGCCCTGGGCAGCTCGAATGTTCTTTGAAAGGTCAAGTGAGTCTTGGGTGATGTATTGCAGCATGTGGAATTCCTGAAGCTATCCCTGAAACACGTTGGCTTGCATTTGGCTTCAAATGTGGGTACAGAACCAGTCTGATGAATGGGGATATCTTGAGGGATGTTTGGTCGGAAAAGTCACGTCAGTTGCTACATATTATTTGGCCCTTATATAAACCATGCATAAATTTCCACTACCAGCACTCCAATCACGCCAAAAACCCGGTAAGATATTCAGGTGCCAGATTGTCATTGTTCTGTTTTGTACTCTCATTTAAAAGCTAGCGTCAGAAGGTTGAATTTTATGGAGTTTCTCTCTCATCAAGCAGAGTATGAACAAAGCAGCCTGTGGTCTGATTTGTGTAATGCAGAATATCATGGCTGCCGGGATGCGTGGTCACGTGACTCCTCCGGGGGCCGCAGGTTCCTGCCAGTATTTCTGCAGCCAAAGTTGTCATGCAATGCTCCGGGTGGAAGCAAGTGGGTAGATGAAAGCACTGTGGGGATGATCTGACACTGAGCACTGCTCAAAATCATCTTCTTCTCTGGGAGTCTGCAAACATCCGCACATTTTCTAATGGGTTGAACGTCTCTATCTTAACCAGTGGCTTGGAAAATTTAGCTAACCAGAGGGGTGCTGCTCCCTTGGGTACATTTGTGCTTTACAAGCTCAATTATGGCGGTTCATCATGCATTTTGCGAGCCCCTCTGTCAGACCGAAATTTGACAAGGCATTATTCATTCCATCTGATGCAAAAGACTTCAGCTGTTTAAGATGGCAGCAAAGCTTAAAATATGTAAATTATGCAGACACACCAGACAAATCTACAGCTGGCGAGATGGCAAAACAAATAATATAACCTCATAGCATTTGTTTCCTATTAATTAGTCACTCTTTACTAAAACATTTAGCTCTACTACTTGTTTTCCCACTCATGTATATAGCAGATTACGGTTGTGTCAATTGAAAATAAACTAAATAGACTTTATTATTATGCTTTTTTCCCTCCATTTTAAATTATTTTACCTTATCATTTAACTTCAGACTTACAACAGTACCACACTGATCAATGTAGGGATAGCATTTTTATAATCAGTATATTCCATATGCATGATTGTTTCATGTTAACCCTTAGCATACTGATTTAATTCATGTGGATTTGAAAGGGGAGTGAGTTGCTCTCTATACATAACTTGCCTGTTCTTTTCTGACTGGAAACTCAAATACGAAAAATGAAAACAAGATAATTTGATCCCTTGAACAAGGTAGTATTTACGGTATTGGTTACTAAACCATCACAGGGCACAATGTGAAGTATTTTCACCTTTGTTGGAACCCTGCTTCCTGTCGTCGGATTCATATTCGACGCAATGATAAAATCAGCCGTTTCGCCGCAAAATGAGGCCGTGTCTGTTTATTATTCGAAGGTCTTGTGTCTGTATTTGATAAACAAAATGCATTGTGTCGTACCACGTCACTTGATTCTCGCATTTTTCGTATTTAGCAGTCACCTGCTGTTAGTTTGTGCGGTCGCAGTTTTCACATCATCTTTTCCGCTCAGTGAGATGCTGCTGCTGAGCACCACTTCTGAGCGCCATCAACAGAAAGCTGTGCAAACCTTCCAGCCACCAGCGGACTGGCACTAATGATCAGAGTGAGTGCCCGTTGATGGAATTAGAACGGCTTCTTGAAACTATTAAGAAGGGACACAAAGAAATAAACATTGACGTGTTGAAGAGAGTTGTGGGCGGAGGGGCGGCTAATGCAAGGGTGTTCATTAGCACAAAACTCAAGGAGATAAACCCCCATTCTGTTTGGCCGTGTCAGAAGAATTAGAGTTATCGTCAATCAACCATCAATGTCTTGGTTTGTTAGTGCACTACAGTACAGTGAAAAGATTGGAACCATTAGAAATGTATTCAGCGTTTCGGTAGAAATAATTCAACCCCTTTGTTTGTTTTTCTCCATCATTTGTTGTGCAGTTGCAGAAGCTCCTGCAGAACAGGCGCTTAATTCCTGATAAAAAGCTTTAAAACACATAGAAATGTTGTTGTCAGTGAAGTTTAATCCCTCTATGATTTACAGGGGGGGGAATCTGATCTTGGCAAATATTGTAAGACACCTTTGCTCCATTAAACTGGTTATTTGCAGTGTACTCACAAGAGCAGGAAAGACAGAACAGATATCTGAAGATAAACCCAAAACTCGTTTGTAAAAGCTGTCAGTATACCTGCGGTAAGAGTACAATTATCTAAAGACCTAAGGGGGTGATTACTCATAGAAAAAAGCAACACTTCCCTGCTACATTTGTCACCCCAATCAAAGTGATGCTTTATTTCTCTCTCTCTCTCTCTTTTTTTTTTTTTTTGAAGTGGGAGCAGCCTGCTGTTGCTTGGCAGCCTGTAATCAGCCATCAATTGCTTGTGTGCCAAACAGCAACATATTTACTATTTACTGCAGCTCCGTGAAAGCCATTAAGCAAACAGTAACTTAAAAACAAGGCAAAAACAATTACCCAAAAGCACCTACTAATTCAACTCTACGCTTACTGTTTAGGTACAAATCATATGCGGCAACTCTGAGCCCTCGGCCCGTTTCTGACAGTACATTAAAGAAGGCCAGTGCCTGTACTC